ATGCAGACTGCATGGATCGAGAGTTTACATTACGGCTGCTCCTCTACCTGTGTGTTTGTGTGTGTGTGTGTGTGTGTGTGTGTGTGTGTGTGTGTGAGTCAGGATTGTGCCTGTTATTAAGATGCAATAACAGGAGATTACATCTATAAAACAGCTGGTTCAACAGGGTCATGACAAGTTGAAGGACAGATGCAAATGAAATCAAAAAAGTGCATGTAGCCACTCCAGTAAGCAGATACATTACATAATCACCAGTCACTCGGTTAATATTACAGCAAGGTGTGGCTGGTGAGCCTTTTATTTTGTCATTACATCATCAGTAATTGTGAGCTTTCATGTTCTCTTTCATCATCTGCAGAGCCCGTGGTGTGACCCTTGACTGGCCCTGACCCTCATTCACCTACTGAACACTAAGGAAGCTTCATTACTCAAGGTGCTATATAAGCCTCTGCTCCGTGCAGCAGCTTCTGATTTCAAATAGCTCTGTTGTAAAACATTTTCCATGCCAACCTCTGTGTCTTCTCAACAGAGTCAAGACAACACAGAGAACTGATCATACAAAGGCTTGTTCAAGCAGATCGCCTGGGGTTTTTTTTTTCCCCCTTTTGATAAATGTAGTGTCTTGCAAGATGTGGCCTATACTCGATTCATGAAAGCCTTTAATATACATTTGTTGTTGTACACCTGCTCTCCGCTAACCCTGTCCTGGGACACAGGAAGTGAGGGTTATAATGTTTCCAGCACAAGTGGCAGCACTTAGGCTGAAAGGAACAAGAGGAAGAACTGGGCCTGTATTTATCAAACTGCTAAAAGGGAAATTTTGGACTTAAGTGAAAGAAATAAGTAGATTTAAAAATCCTTCACTTTTACTCTTACTTGCAAACTGAAGAATAAAAACTGTTGAGCAAGTGTCCTACATCTTTAATCATGCTCCAGAGCGGCTCATTTATGACAGCAGCACAGAGACTGAGGGAAGCCTCCACTGACACATCATGATATGATTATACAAAATATAGCAGTCATGTTAACTAAAGCAACTTGTATGATTCTGAATAGGATAGTTTTTGCCTATTATTTGCATCTGGTTTGAATATTTATTGGACCGCTTTTTTATTTTCCTTTATTGCATTTGTCAGTAGAGCAAATAGCAAGAATAAAACTGGTATTGATTTTGTTTGTTTTTCCACTTGTTTTTTTTAAAGCCAGACACCAGAGCGAGATGACTGGGAATGTCGAGGAGAGGAACTAAATTAACTAACTTATTATTCTCCTTATTTTCTATGATATTCCCTCTCTATAAGCAGATTTCCTTTTTTTGGCTCCAGCTTAGTTTTATATTTGCTTCCCTTTCACCTAATAAATATAAATTTATAAATGTAAATGTCATGCAAACATGTTAAGCTTGTTGTAATTTTCAGATTTGCATTGCTACAGGATTTATTAAAGATTTCACACAAATAAAACTGATTTCTTTAAAACTTTAAATCACATGCCTTTTGAAAATAGCAATAAAAATTTCAATAAAAACCCGCCCTGTTTTATTGTGAAACGATTGGTGGGAAATGTAGTTTGCCAACTTTTTTAGCTGTTGCATACATAAAGCAAAAGCAAGCGATTTTTCTCTCTTAATTTGTACATATACACAGACAATACAACCAGGTAGACAACTTCCAAGACAACATCCAGCTGTTCCAGAGCTGCGATTGCCCTCAATGGGTGGGCTGATGGTGCTTCCCAAACTCTCTCTGCATTCCTCATGCCCTGCCACTGCCAACTGGCATCGTGCCTGAACCTCAAAATAACTTCCAGACTTCCCTCCTGATACAGACACAGATGTTTGTCATCCAGATTAGTCATTCAAACAGGGGATGAAAGCCTGATAAACAGGGTGATCAGGAGGGGCTTGGTTTTGTGCTGCTATATAAGGAGCTGTTTTGGCTGGAGACACTGATCAATATCAAACACTAACCTCTGCAATGCAGCTGATACTAGTCCAAGTCCTCAGCTTTCTCAGATGTTTTTCAACCCTCATTATTCAGTCAGTGATACCTTTCTTCGTCTGACCTGTGTATGGTGAAAACTCTTTATGGGTTGCATAATTTCTCCAACTACCTTTCTTTCTTTCAAAACACACTGGATTATTTCCAAAATGCACTGTCACCGGGCCTAAGTCCAGGTCGTTCTGATGATAGTTTGGAGATACAGCATATATTTGGCAATGATTTGCAGTCAGTAGATGTGTCCCAATTCAAGGGCCGCATCCTTGGGACACTGCATTTGAAGACCGATTGTGTCACAGCAGCGAGACTGGACTGTCCCATTTTGGGTAGATCCTTCGTTGCCCGATCTATCCCAAGATTCATATTTAGCATTTAGCATTAACAGCTGTTTACTTACCAGTCTAGAAGAAACGTTGTGAGTTCAGCATCAAACGTCATTCCTTTACTCACTAAGAGGTGTCTCCAGAGGTGGAAACAAACACCAGTGTTAACTCTTGTTTCTACCATGTCTTTCTTTCTACTGAAGTTAGCATGCTAACCTGCTAGCCCTGGCCTATACTAGACTGTCTTATCACTTTCCGATAGCCACTGTACTGTAGTGACTGACTGTAGCCTCCAGTCTACCCTGAAGATGTAGCGCTGCTCAGAAGATATATTATAACCCCTTGTATTGTAAAGACAACAATGGCCGAAGCTCTTGTCAAGCAACAAAAAACACGTTCAAAAACGTTCAAATAGCCCATCAGATTTATTTTGAATTAATCAATTTTAACACAATGTGTTGACAGTTGGTGGTTTCACCATCAAATCATCCTGATAAAGCAGATACGCTCAGTTTTTTACAGTTAAACACTTAATAAATTATATCTATGGATGTTTTTTCTTCTAAATGTTATTTAGTCATAAATATTTAATATTATTTAATATCTATAATAATTTGAAAATACACATTTTCAGGGACTTTAAAACAGCCCAGCCTTGGAGAGGCTAGGTTTTTTCACAATGAGGGTGTTAAGACAGAACCTGCTTGGTGTATGCAGTGTGTCTGGACCAGTAGCTGCTGATCACAGAGTGGATAGTCTCACAGAGCTTAGTCAGGTCTGTCCATTTGGCAGAAGTCTGATGTTGACTCTGAGCCTTATGGACAAAGGAGCCTGCCACTGAGTCTGTTGCTCGAGAGAAACATGCAGTACAAATTCCAAGTGACCCCATGTGAACCTCCACACGCTGTGGGCACTGCATGTTCATTACTCCTGCAGACAAGTATGCAAATGTATTGTAGATAACACTGTATTTTCAGTCAAGGAAAATATTAAGAGAAACGTTTTCGGCAATCCAAAACATCAACAGAAATTTCAAACAGCACATAAAGAAATCAAAGAAGAAACAGAGATACCAATCTCTTTACTAATAGCAGCGTGATGACATTAAAATACAGCCATGATTTATGTGAGGAAACAATGTCTGGATGCAACAAGTTCAGACATTTTCTACATTCAAAGGATTGTTGGGAGGTTACATACAGTTAGGAGAATAGATGAGGAGGGAGACATGAAAAAAGAAACTTAATCCACATAATCCCTGAGAACCTTTCAAGTCTGATAGTTTATGAGGACTCAGCCACCCTTCATACTGTGTCTGTCGAGGTACTTACACTCTCTGTCCTACAGACACTCTGTGACAGTATCAGTGCAACCATCTTTACAGTCTTGGCACAAGCTTAACCTCAAAGTAAAATGAGACATATGGCATCCTCACCCAGGGTTCAACCTCCCTTTATCTCAGTGACCCACACTGACAGGGAATCCTTGGTAATGACGACAGGCATGAAGGAGCCAGAAAAAGAATTAAAACATGAGACTAAATAGCCAAAAATTTGCTGTAGTTAGCCAAAATTAAATGTGTAGAATATACTGGTGTTGACAGAACAGCTGGTTTCCCAGCAAGACTGTTGTGAAATTGGAGCAGTCACCCCATCAACATGAGGTATATGGACTGAGGGTTGAATAACTGTTCTCCCCCTCCCAGAATGCCACGGTACTCCTGACTGTCAAATTCACTGCTGCCTAATGTTGCATAACTCTCATACTTTAACCTTGTGAAGGCTGAAGGTTGACCTTAGCTACAAATATCCTCAGTCTTGTCACAGCCCTCAGACACATCATGTTGTAAAATGATCTTGGTTATGTGTTTGTGACAAATGTTTCATTAAAACCTTGGGGAAAACTGGCTGATAATCAAAGTAATGTCCACACGTAGGCCTACGAAGACCTAAAAAATGTACTGTCAGTCATGGGAATACTGCTTTCTCAGTGTCTAACTTACTGGTGCTTTAGTTCTTGTCAAAAGTTGTTTTAATGTCCTCAAAGGCAATAATAAACAGTATGAATTTATTTAATGAACTCAAATATGTTGTTTACAAAGATAGTGGTATGTATGGTCACTTATATTCATGTTTTTTTTTAATTAACCACCTTTAAAATTTGTTAAGGGGGTAGTAATTAAATGATTTTAAAGGAGGCATTCTGACTGAGGCTCAGACAGGTTTAATTTATTGGATTTAGAATATTTTCACAATAATTTAGCATTAATAACCTAATCCATGAACAGAAATAATAATAATACTAATAAAACCTTAATAACTACATCTTCCATAAATCAACTTAAGGAAAAACCCTGACACAAACCATTACTGAAACTGAAACTGTCATTTTCAACTGCTATTTAATCTTCGTTTCATAGAAAAACTGAAGCATAAAGGAATAAAATGGTGTAATTTGGTTCATATATCATATTGTGCTCCAATAACCTCCTGTGCACCTGTTTTTCGGTGACTCTGCACGCTCATATCAAGATCTCCAGTGAATTATTGAAACCAATAAAACAGCGTCATTGATAAGGAGACACCGGCTCGTCTTAAATTGAGTGACAACATCAGACAAACGGTCGACCGGAGGTCTGTGTGTCTGTTGCGCATCCACTTGTTGAGTTCACAATAGTTCACCGGCGTCGCTCTATTTAAAGAGGCATCAACATGGCACACGGTCTGGTCAGACGGGAGTCAGTGGAAACGGAGATGCAGAAGTCCGAAGACAAAAGGAAAACCTTCGTGTACACTAAGAAGAGGGGCTATGATGTTACCCGAAACCCTCACCTCAACAAGGTAACTATGGACACACAGTTGTCTGAAGTTTTCATTTTGTTTCTATGAACGACAAGGTTGATAAGCTAGCTGCTGCCTTCAGGAGCTGTGGGAAATGGCAAATACCAACATTAAATGTCAATATAAGCGAGGAAAGATGCGGATATTCTTTACTTTAATGTACTGTAATGTCATAATTCACGAGGTTTACCTAACGTTTAGTGAGTGGAGAAAGCTAGCAAGGGATGAATTGTAGGCCCACAACAACGTCTGGCTAATAAGTGGCTATAGTGCTAATGTTAAAGATTGACACCTAGCTTACTAAGGGCTTAAATTTAAACTTTGCTACATATTCAGTGATTTTTCTCCTCCACTTACCATGTAAGCAGCAACTTCCAAAAACATTTTAGATAATTGGTATGTATTTAATAGCTTACATGTCTTGTTTATGATTTCCGTACCTCCTGCCCGAGCCCGCAAGGAGCTAGTGAACGCAGCATTAGCCAGGAGGTTTAGGTATCAGCTTTAGACTCGGTTATATTTAGATTTAAAGAGACCAAACGCTGCTATCACACAGCGAGGGGCTTTTGTTAATATTGCCCTGTCAGGTATCGCCTTACAGAGACTTAGCGGTGTTGCTGTTATTGATTTATTATTATGCTGAATTGCGTCTCGAGCCCATCGCCCTCCCCATAAGCACCACACTATGTGATTCAGCACATTGAGAAAAGCTGCTGTAAGACCAGTGTGAAAGCTGATATCATGTCAAGATAAGGTCACTACCGCATATAAAAACTCCTATAGATATTTAAGATTAAAACTTCTTTTCACTTTCTTTTTTTCATAAGTCAAAATGAGGAACAATATTGGAAGATGCTTATTCATGCAACTTATAATGCTGAACAGCTTCCTTAAAGTCTAGATCATGAGATAAAGAGATGACACTGCATGTTCTCATTCTGGTAAAAGCTTTTCATTGTAGTCTGCTGAGTTTTCTATCATGGTTCTTATGACTAGCCTTTGCCTGAGGTATTTTTTTTTCCCATGCTGTAAATGTATCTTTAACAAAAGAGCCTTTGGCAGCCTTTGAACCCTTCCAGTGTTTTCCTCTGGTTTGTGTGGTGGGATGGGGCCCCAGAGGTCAGGCTGTGGTGACAGGGTCTCTGTCCATGGTGCTGACTGACCATCAAAACAACTGGCTGAAATCACGGTAGCTCTTATGTCAAGTGACTCCTGCAAACACAGTGTGTAGTCTCATTGCTCTTCGTCACTGCCAGTCTTATTTTAGAGCACTTGTACAGTCTATTTTTTAAACTCTGAGCTGATTTATGTACTCCCACGTTTCCCCTTTGGAGGAAAACATGAAAACTGTAGCCCTATCTGTACTGTATCGTGAAGTTATTTTGGTTTATTTCACTAAGAAGATACAATATCCAAAATATGAGAGTCTGATTACTGTGTGTTTTTAGTGTAAAGGCTGCTCCAGTCTGATAAAAGCTGCAGGCAGTTTAGCACAGCTGAGGGAGCTGCCAGCCTGGGTGGTGTCAACACTGAGCTGATAAGTGAGACAGTGGAGTTCAAACAGGCCAGTGTGTTTGGGGTGAGGGGCGGTGTGGTGCTGGCTGCACAGAGGCCTGTTTGTTAGGCCAGTTAATGACTCCACTCCTGAGACTGCCACATACTGCACATCAACCCTGTGTGTGTGTTTGTTTTCATGTGTGTAAGTGTGCATGGTGTGGTAGGGGGAGTGAAGCGAGGTGTGTATACAGAGATGCATTATTACTAATAGGAACAAATTAGGGAACCCTTTGTAATCTAGGTGAGTTCAACCAACACACAAATGTCATGTTGTGTTGTACAGTGGCTGTGAAAGGTGAAATATGCCATTAAAGTGTAGATCCTGTAAATTTAATCATTTAAATAGAACGTTGTGTGTGTAGAAAAATGACAAAATCCCCATATTTACTTTGGAATATATTTAATAAAATAAACCAGACCAGATGTCTTTGAGAAAAGGGGCACCTATACATCGTGTTCATTTGTTAATGAAAACTATGATGAAAAATAATCATCGACGACCTACTGTACTTTTCATGACGAAAACAAGAAATGTAGTACATTTGTAGTCAACAAATAAAAACTAAACAATAATGTGAAAGACATGCATCTGTGAGAGCACACACTATATCTCCTGATTAGTAAAACAGTTTCCTCCACTGTTTAGAAGACGATTTAGCTGCTTAACCTGTTGCATGACTATTAGTAAGAAACATCTTGCAAAGTTATGTCTGTCAGTAATGTTATCGGAGGTTACCTCTTATAGGAATTAACAGATTTATGGACTGAATTCTAATATAGCTAATGTAGCCATCAGGTGCTGTGACATTAGCATTACTTTCAGTCGGCTATCTTTAGTGCTGCTATAAGGAGGAGTGAGTAAGTCTCAGGATTCATTTTGGTGGCCCATTTTATGTGACGATATAGCGTCTCCTGTCAAACTAAATCCAGAAAATGAACAGTATTTTAGTGAAGACGTGATTAGAGAAGAGAAACAACAAAGACACAATTAGTTAAGAGAGTTTCTTTCTGTTCAGAAAGAGGAAGTTGGAAAATGTTTACTAGATTTACTGTGGTGAGTCAGTCTGTACTACTGCAAAGCAGAGTGACACCTGTAACCATGGTAACTGTACACAAAGATAGCAACAGCTGTAGCCTCAAAATGCAGTAAGATAGAAAAATTTAAAATGTATTACTGAAACCAGACTAAAACTAGCAAAAATCAAATGACTAAAACTTGACTGAAACTAATACACATTTCATTCTATGGTTTTATCTGCAAAGGTTTTATGTAAAGACACAGTGTAAAGCTGAAAGCGCTTCATCTGTGTGATGTAACAGCTCCCGTTTTACTCAAACTATAGCCTTGTAAATGTGTACTGAGGCGTATTTTAACACTTCAGGTCTATTTTCTTCCATTTTACGCGTGTAACTACAGTGATTGTGTGTTGTGTTGGGCTGCCAAATCGCAGGTGACCTACACTCAGTGCTGCTTGAGCGCATCCTGTGTAAACAGAAAGAGGACTGAAGTGGCTGCTGCTGCTCTGCTAACATGCTGCTCACTCCTGTGTGAGAAAGATGAGATTTGCTTTTTGTTTTCAGTCACAAAAAGTCTTTTACTATGAGACTGGAGCATTTGCAGGAAAGGACTGTGGTTATTATTTACCTTGTGAGGTTATCCACGATCTCTTTCACTGCTTTTGGAAGTGCTGTGTCTTTGTACCAACCTCACTGTGTAGATTGCCACTTGTTGACTATTGCCAAATATCGGAGTGTAGTCAAAGGACATACCTGGTGCCTGAGCAGAGGTCTGGCTTGGTCTGTCTACTTCTTCATTTCTTCAGCATGTTGTCTGAATGCTTCAGAAAATAAGCTTCAATGTTCATGTCAACACTGGCAGCATTTGACCCAACCAGGGTGAGGTTTCAGGCAGCCATCTTGAAAACCCCCTTTTGATTTTTGACTTTGGTAAGAGAACATTTGCCCAACTGATCTGATTTGAAAACCCTCTCTTTATACTTTGATAATGGCTGTTTGCAGTAGAGGTCAATCTGGAGGCCTATAGCCTCAGTGCTTAGACCTGGCCCAGTAAACTGTTTGTTTACATCTCAATTTACACCTTAGGGCCCTGAATGGACCCAGTGTACATGGGGGCTCTTAAAGATATGTTGACCTAAATCCATGTGGAAGCAGGACTGGTCTACCACTAAGGATGTTACTCTATGTTTTGTCTATTTTAATAAAGTTCTGTTGTGATCTGGATTTTAAGCTAACTCTCTCATATAGTTCACTCACTGTTTTTCTCTCTTGCTCTTTTCACCTCCTCCATTTCCTCGCTCTTTCTCTTGAGTGGTGTAAAGAGTGAATGTTACGAGAGCCTCGGTTCTTTGTTCTTCATTTTACGAGAAGGCTTTTCATCTCACTTTAAAGTTGGCCATCTTAAATGAGCTCGCAATTTGTGTTGTTTGGTAAAAAGGTGGGGTTTAATAAGAGAAGGATTAATTACCAAATGAGAACTGGACTGGAAACAAAGGATCCGAGGAGCCTGCTTTATACGCAGCACACCAGTTTGTTCAATCTGAGAAGAAAAACGAGGGGGAATTTCTAAAACCACAGTCTCTGGTTTTTGTTTTTTTTACATTTTGACAAAAGTAAAAGTCTAGCTTATGATACTATTTTACGTTAATACAAATTGACCTTGTTTTGTGATTTGAGGATATAACAAAAACACATTACATGCTGAGTGATCAACCTGACCCTCTCATCAGCTGGCTGAAGTGACCCAAAACACAGACTCTGTCAAACACACACGGGTTAGAGTAATAGCAGAAAAAAAGGTTGCTTATGCTGCCAGGTGAACCATCCACTGTCAGCTCGGTACATGAACTGGGGCGAGGAAATTGGAGGAGAAGGTAGGAAATGACTGCTAAAGCGTGTTAGCGGTCGGGCACAGGCAGGCTTCTGTGGCTCAGGCAGTGGCACATTGTTGCCTTCCTTCTGATTTCAGCGAGGCCTGGGGGATGAGGTGTGTTTACCTCCCTCAGCTGGCCCACTTCACCTCGAACAGGAGCCGGTCACAGCACAACCTGCTAATTGATGCTGAGGGACGCAGTGCTGAAAGCAGCGTGTCCTCACACCGGCAGGCTTCGATTTCTTTTTAATCTATCCACACATACACACATATAGATGTATGGACACACACACACACACACACACACACAGACACACACCCTCACTCACAAAACTTCACCTTACTCTTTGGTTAACACTCCCTCCTCCCTCTCCAGAGGTGGAACCGGATATTATAGGTGTGTTTTGTGTGCGTTCACCGTGCAATAAAGAGATGAAGTGGGGTGCGAGCTGTAGAAAGGGTTCTCTGTGGTGAGGAAGAGAGCGCTGGCCACGCTCCACAGACGCCCTCTGTCTCTCCGCTTGATCACACATTAATGAGGCATCTGTGTGAA